TGCTTTAGGGCGGGGCTACACGGTGATTGACAGGTCTCTACCACACCGTTGTCCGGTCCAGGAGTTATCCGTGTTTTTGTCTTACAACTTTAACCCTTTCACAGTTTGTTTTTACTTCATGAAAGTTTATTGTAACATTTTGGTCATCTATAAACGTCTTATTCAGCGTTCGGTTGCACCCTCTTGTGTCACTTCTGGTTACAATAAAACAAGATGGCGACAGCTAAAAACCAAAATTGCAATGGCCAAAAACCAAGATGGCATCGGCCAAAATGCCAAACTCGAGGCTTCAAACCGTCAAACCAATGGGTGATGTCACGGTGACTACGTCGCCAATTTCCATACACAGCCTATGGCTTAAACAAGTGTGATGTTTGGAGCGTTGCCATCATTGAAGGAGAAAGAGGTGCCTCAATGCTTCGTGACATTTTCTTACACAGATATCCAATCCAGATGCCAAGAGAGCGTTGTTTTGGTGGCATGGACGGATTGCCGGGCGTGAGGAACTACGGACTGTTAGAACCTGATGAGCTGTATGACGTCTACTGCTACGTGGAGAACATCAACGGTAAGTAGACCAAAAGTATTTTAATTTAACTTTAAATTAATTATTACATTTTTGTCTTATTTTTGTAAATTTGCATTCTCGTCATTTAGGAAAACATTTCGAGTATTAGTTTAAATTACTGGAATTGGTACAAGCAACATGAGTGCTGAGACGCCCAGATTTTAAACTATTCCCAGTATTACCAAGTGATACGGTTTGGTATGAGGACAGCCCTTGGTTGGGGCTTTTTTTTCCTAGCTTGGATGCCTTACTTTCAATAAAGGGGAATCTTAATGCTACAATATATAAAGATAACTTGTGCACAAAGCCAGCTTCAAAAAGAAACACTTTATTTTGCGGTTTTTACCCAGAATCCCAAGAGAAGAACGGACGCAACACAAGTATAATGAAGCCTTTTATTTTATTTAGAGGTGATCAGGGGTTTAAAAACTTACAGCAGTTTACAACAAACACAAGAAGTGGGAGATCTGAAGCAAGCAACAAAGAAAAGAAGGGCAGCAGGTGGATTAAACAAAAAAGCTTCTTAAAAATTCATGTGTTCAGCAACTACGTGGCTGGCTTCCCCAAAACACAAGTTAAAATAAACTTGAGCTGCTGTACGATGGTGGTTACGTCGTTATGGTTGTTTTGTCATGTTTTTACTTTCTGAAAGACTTTATAATAATTTTGCTGTGGTTGATTGGTGTCTCTTTGTAGTCATTTTGAGGTTGTTTTTTTTTTACCCTTTTCAGTCGTTTCCTGGTTGGTGTCTCTTTGAGGGACATTTTGTAGTCGAACACAAACCACGATGTTTTTTCCAACCTTTACTAAGTATTTTTGTTGCCTTAATCTAACAAATCTTTTCACAACGTTAACCATGTGGCATACGAGGCTGGTATGAAATGTATTATTGTTTCAGAAACGACATTCAACGTATCCCGTTGTTTGGGGAAACGTGCAATGCAAACATTTTTTTTCTGGCGACAGGGTTGCAAAAATCACATCAATCACAAAGTAACAGGCAAGAGATCATCAGAACTTGACACCTGCCTCTCCTTGTGTGAAGGTGAGGTGTTCCATGGCTCCACCCCCCAGCGCTTCACCTTCTGGGAGGCAGAGGCCTACTGTCTGAGTCACGGGGCCGAGCTGGTCACCACAGCTCAGCTGTACGTGGCCTGGAATGACGGACTGAACCTCTGCAGTCCCGGCTGGCTGGCGGACGGGAGCGTCCGCTACCCCATCGTCACCCCCAGGGAGCGCTGTGGAGGCGGTGAACCCGGCGTCAGAACCGTCTATCGCTACAGCAACCAGACGGGCTTCCCCGAGGTTCACACTCGACACGACGTCTACTGCTTCAGAAGTAAGAGAACAATCCTGAAGTGTCCTGGCTTATTTTGTGCATTCTAAGAATTAGAATCAAGACCTTAAAAGGGGTCACAGGATGAATCTCAGGGGTCTCGAGATGGTTTCTTGTTCATGGTTCAAAGAAGGTTCAATTGTTCCGACATTGTAACAATTGTTCTTTGGTAAAATTAAGGTTGACGTTTTTTCATTGTACAGTTGCGGTACCATTGCCTCTGAATCAGTTTGGCTCCAACTACAATATAAATATACTACAATCAGTCTCCAGAATGTTGAAGGTGCCCACTTGTTTATTCTAATGGAGGTCGCAGATGCTATTTCTTGCTGAACTTTCTTGCTCTCAAACTCAATCACATCCTGGATATTCTACATAACCTGCTGTACTTCTGCTCTTTATTCCAGGCGATAACGCCGCTTACACAGAATCTCCTCAGGATTTTCTTGCCACTGAGCCAGAGGACATTGGCCAGGACATTGTTTTCTCCACTAATCCTGCAGAGGAGGAGGAGTTCATTCAGAGCAAGGCAACCGCAAAGGAGGGCGACGAGGTCTACCATGCCCAGACGGCCAATCTTGTGAAGCGGGAACCCGTGGAGGCTCAGCCCCCAACATTGCGTTATGACAAGGAACCACTGTTGACGACAGACCTTCATCAGACTGTCACTCCTCCATCTGAGCATCAGGAGCATGTGTCCACCGCGGAGGACACCTGGGAGGTCATAGAGAAGGCCATCATCCCAGAGTCCCATCAGCCTGCTCCTGAAGAAAACCCAGATCATGAAGAGTCTCACGCACTTCCAACAACTTCTCCAAAGACCGATGGCGTAGTAACCGTTGATGAAGACTCCACTTCACCCACGACCGATTCAACATCACCAGAGAGCGAAGAGCCCTCAGAGCGTCATATTTCTGTGAAGGAAAGCCCGGATACACCAGCTGTTAACGCAACATCTGGAACTGATGCTAATGAGCTCCTCAGCAGCTCTCCACAGGTTCCTCAGGAGGGCGAGCTTCCTGTCTCACAAGAGGACCACACTCCAGATGTCCACCTGGAACTCGCCTCTGAAGCGGAGCTCGTCTACTCGAGCACCTCTTACGGTGTTTCGGGGCAGCCAGAAGAGGCCAGCGCTGGTTCTGTTGAGGAGATGTCAGCGGTGACAACATCAACCCACGACGAGGAAACGGACATTCACGCCACCACCACCTCGCTGCCGTCTTTTGAAAACAGCACGCCTGAGAACCATCCAACAGAAGAGGAGTCTGGAGAGGAAAGTGTAAATCCTCTTCTAGATGAGGAAGACTCTGTGTCTCCAAGTTTGGTTGGTATGGAAACCACTGCCATCGCTGAACTGGTCCCCTCCTCTGATTCAGGTGAATATTAAACGTAGGATGTTCTGGGTTCCTCCATTGCTACTGTGAGGATATCATTTTGAATGCAGTACTTTTACTTGTAACAGAGTATTTCTACTCTGTCGTATTGCTAATCTAAGTACTTAGATTATTGTGTGTTGACATTTTAGCATATTACATTAGCGCCTATGACCACAGTAAACATGTCATCATACTGACCTTTGTTTGTCAAGTTGTTTGTGATGCTAATTCCCAGGAACTTTAAAGTTCAAGACCTGTATTTGTTTTTATTTACCATAGAAAAAAGATAGATATCTTTTACACATAATTTACGACGATCCTGTTTCTTGGCAGGTTACGATCCCACCCCAGATCTCCCAGGTGTACCTGTGGAGTCGTCCATCCCAGTCGGTCACGGTGACGAGGACTCCAGCGGCACTTCAGAGGAGACGGCAACAGATGATCTAACCGACCAGAGTGGACACATCCATCCTGCAGAACCCCCCACTGTAGAGGTCTTCACAGTCACAGGTGGCTCCGGTGTGAACGCTCCGGTCCTGAGCACTAATCCGGTCACTTTGTCGACATCAACCGTATCTGTTACCCTGTCACCGACTTCTGCGGACGTTGAAGCCGGCTCCCCGGAGATTATAACCTTCGTACCCGAAAGCAACACTTCATCTGGGGCCGAACCTCTGGAGGACATCCAGGGCAGACTTGAAGAGGAAGTATTAGGAGAAGGCCCAGAGGTATTCCTCAGCACAACCCAAAATATCACAGACAGTGATCCGGTGGGGGTGGAGCAAGATGGCAGAGAAGAATCAGGTGATTCATCAGGAGAGAGCCCAGAGGTGAAACCAGAACTGTTGTCAACAAATCCAAGTCTCTCAACGGACCACACTGACGGCGAGGATGCCACTGATACACCATCAGATGTAAGAATCACACTGATCCCTCATCTGACCCTCACACCCGACTGGGAACCAGAGCCTTCTTCTTCCACACCGCAGGAGTCTCGGTCTGATCTGGAATACAGCGCCGAGCCTCCTGTCGCTGAGGAATCCGATGACTCTAAGGAGCCAGAGGTCGTGACTCAGATCACCACGAGCAACGTATCCTCATACATCGGTTCGTATGATATCTTACGAAAAAGATTTCAGCTCGTTACATGAATACAGTCTTTTCAAAATAAACTTCCGTCTTCACAGGAAACAACTTAGTTAGGTTTAAATATAACCAATATGAACTTAAGATAATCACCTACGACTGCTTTTAATGTCTAAAAAGCCCCTAAAGTTGAGTTTGTTTGCATTTAGAAATAATCCTGATGATAAACTGTGTCAACAGAACATGGATCAGAGGGAGGTGAGGGGGAGACCAGCACAGATTCAGTTAAAATGTGCACATGGCGTCCGGATGAGGAGGACACCACCGGTCCCACTCTCACCGCCGGCAGCAGCGATGTGACCGCGTACCCGGAGTATCCTGCCATGGCTGCCTCCAGGCCGGCTGCCAGAGTTTCTGCTGCAAAACCAGGAGCCATTTCAGGTACTGGTGCTTCTTTCTTTTTCATATGAACATTCAGTTCGTAGGGATGACAACAAAAAGTACTTAACGTCATTGTACTTCTTAGGGTATTACAAACATTGTCTTACAAACTGCCTAACACACACACACACACACACACACACACACACACACACACACACACATACATTTAATTTCATACAATTGTGATATTTCATCCCTTTCTGCACCGTTTTATGTCTCATGTCTGCCTTTTGTTACGTACATATTCAATGAGCATCGTTGGAGCTTAAGATCTAAACTGTGTATTCCCAACAACTGCTTCTCTGTTATTCTTGTGACATTAGAGAAGTTGAAACTTGATATTTAATAACTGAGCAGTGGGCTCCTGGTAGCTGATGCATCAGCTCCCTCTGCTGGTGACTGCATGTAAAACACTGTTATAAATCAGGCAGTAGATAACAAAGATAGATGAACTTTATTGATCCGACATCTGGGGATTGAATTGTTACAGCAGCTGCAGAGCATATACACACTATATACTATATACTATATACTTGAAAAGGTTTTGATGAAGGTATCTCTGTGGATTTGTGGGAGTGCAGGACGCATGCAGTTAAGAGCAGAACACCATCAAGTCTGATGAAAAAGTGTTTGTTGGAAAATGATAGTTAATATGGAATATAGCTTCACCATTAATTTAGTATACAATCAATATTTTATGTACACAAGATAAGATAAGTGAAGATAGAACTTCATTAATCCTGAAGGAAGTTTCATTTAAGATTACAACAGAAGGAAAACAAAAAACAATAAAAATATAAACATATATGAACAATAGAATAAGAAATATTATGTGTAAATAAATATTACCGACACCATAGTTAAATAGAACACAATAGCAATAATAGTAAATAAATAAAGTAAAAAATTCAACTAAAATAGAAAGAGTCAAATACAAAGTAAGAGTAAAAATATTAAGTATTTAAGAAGTGATACTAATCATATTAAAAGCATGATATTGAGAGAGATTATGTCAATTATATTGAAAAAGTAGTGAAAATAATATTGCACATACAATTAAAATGTAATACTGCACAATGTTGAAACAAGTAACGTTTCATATGATTATGGTTATTATTGATGTTACACAAGAAAGACTTCCTGTTCTGCTCTGTGGTTCACCTCAGTGTTCTAAAGAATACATTGAATGAAATAGATCCCATTAAATGTTAGTTTGTCTCCAGACAGTCTCTTCTAGAGCAACACTATTTTAAGAGAATTAATGACATTAATGAAGCTCTCCTCCTCACAGCTGCAGACTCCTGCCTGGAGAACCCTTGTTTGAACGGAGGCACGTGTGTCGACGGTGAACCGGCGCGGTGCTTCTGCTTGAGCGGATACGGAGGAGACTTGTGCCAGACAGGTTCAGAGTCAGCTGTTTGATAGAAACACATGATGTGACCTTCCAGAGAGACCTTCCTGCTGACTCTCCTCTGTCTCCATCCCCCCCCTTCAGACCTGGAGGTGTGCGAGTCCGGCTGGGACAAGTTTCAGGGCTTCTGTTATCATCACTTCGTGAAGAGGCAGAGCTGGGAGGCGGCGGAGCAGCACTGCCGCCTGTGTGGAGGACATCTGCTGTCTGTGATGACGCCCGAGGAGCAGGACTACGTCAACGGTAAGGACCCCGAGGAACACCGGCCACTCTGATCAATGCTGGAGGCATCTGGAGGCACAGAGGAGGAGGAGGAGGATCAATATAACGATACAAAAATATATTATAATAATAATAACAATAACTGTAAAAACCCAGAGGAACACCGGCCACTCTGATCAATGCTGGAGTCAGAAAGGATGATGATCATTCATATAACGATAACAAATGATATGATGATAATAGTAATTATTAAATGATGATGGTAACAATGATGATCATGATAATGATACAAAAATGATATAATAATAATAATAATAATAATAATGGTAATATTGATGATGATAACAATTATCATTATAATGATAAAAACATTATCTGATAATATTAATAATAATAATAATAATGGTGATGATGATAATACTATTACTAAATGATAATATAACAATAATGATTTAATAAGAATAATAAAAACACCTTTTGAATCAATATGTGAAGAAAATTATTATTATCTTGTGAAAGTTTCAAACCTTCCTCTGACGTTGATAAATATAAAATATGAAAAGGTGCAGATTAACAGAAACAATGAACTGTTTATACTGTCAAATGTCAAATTATGGCAAAATGCTTCACAATAATATTTGAAAATAACCTTTAAAAATATAATAAAAGCCATATAAGAGGATGTGAGAGGTGACTTTGGTTGTTTGAGGCGTCCTTTCGACAGTAACGGACGTGTTCCTTGCAGCAGATATCGACTAGTGATCTTTTATTCTTCCACTTCAGACTCTTGAACAAACCTTTTCCTCTCAGAAGTGTCCAGACGAGACAAAACATCGACCTTTCATCTCTTCCCTTTTATTCAACCCCGTTTTATTTTACCTATAAAAGGTCACGGTGTTGAAGTCGGTGTTTTGTCTGGAAACCAGGCGGTGAGATAGTTATCTGACGTTATCTTACATTCCTCCAGTGGTTGCTTCTCACTGTGCGGGGCAGTCAGACCAGGAGGAGGGGCCAGTTAATAAAAGCACAATGATAATATTCTTCAGATAAATCATCTTTCTTTGACATTCTCTATTTTCACATTAATTGACTTAAATGCACAATGATTGACACGAGGCCTGTATATGACGGGTAAATCTGATATTTTACTGCAAATTATTAATTAATGTGACATGAATAACATGAATAAACATATCGCTTCCACATTTGTTCTAAATATTTCTATGCATCTTATAGAAGTTCAATAGTGGGACTTATCTCTATGTTATTTATTGCTTTTGTCTTTTATTGTGAAGCACTTATATAAATGTGCTATAAATATGAATTTGACTTTCTTTCTAAGCTACTTTATCTGCCTTATATAGTGTACACAGCTATGATGCAGTGACCCCTCTTTTATTTTTAGACAAATACAGAGAATATCAGTGGATTGGACTCAACGACAGAACCATCGAGGGAGACTTCCGCTGGTCGGACGGGAACCCTCTGGTGAGTTTAACGGAGAGTTTATGATATCAAACAATTTAAAGTCATCAGTCACAGAAGACGATTATTCCCTCTGATCGTTTAAGCCGTGTACGTCAGGTTATCGTGTCACTCTCTCCGTCAGCTCTACGAGAACTGGTACCGAGGTCAGCCGGACAGCTACTTCCTGTCGGGTGAGGACTGTGCGGTGATGGTGTGGCACGACGACGGCCACTGGAGCGACGTGCCGTGTAACTACCACCTGTCCTACACCTGCAAGAAGGGCGCCTGTGAGTTCTTTTTAGAGGTCTTATTTTTGTTTTAACCTGCCCTGGTGGTAACGATCTAAGAAGCAAAGTTCTCTCTTTATTTTCTATCTGACAGCGTCCTGTAGCGAGCCGCCCAAGGTTCCCAAAGCTAAGGTGTTTGGGAAGAAGCGGCTGCGTTACGAGACCAACACCAAGGTGCGGTACTTCTGTGAGGGGGGTTATGTTCAGAAAAGGAATCCTGTAATCAAGTGTCTGCCCGGCGGCCAATGGGAAGAGCCTCTCATCACCTGCATCCCCAGTAAGTGCATAGAAGTTTAGTTAAAGTTAGGGAACGAACTTAGAGTTAGGTTTAGGTGAGAACATGTTTAAAAGTTTAAAAGTAAAGGCTTTAGTTTTAGTTAAAGCGACTACGAGGAACTTTAATTTAGTGTTGATTCTGGCGGTCCCTGAGCACCAGACCCCCTTTAGAAAACCTCTAATGTTACTGCAGCAGGGTCTGACAGTCGGCCCCTCTCAGTCCTGGTTCTGGTTCTCCCGTGCCTCCCTTCCCTCCAGCGGGTCCAGCAATACGTCCTGGGTCTCCAGCAGCGTGGTGTCGGTGTTGACTCCCAGAGAGGAGAAGCTCTGCTCCTGGAGGAAGAGGAGGAGGAGGAGGATCTGGGTCTGTCCACGGTGGACCGGTCTCTGCTGGAGGATCTGGGTCTGTCCACGGTGGACCGGTCTCTGCTGGAGTCTGAGCTGAAAGAGTTTCTGGTGAACCTGCATGAGTTCATCTGGTCTCACCAGAATCCGACCCGGTGGCTCCGATCACGAGCATTAAGAATAACTCTATAGAAACAGACCATCTTCTCTCTGATGGTCTCTTTACTGATGGAGGTCTGATAGAGGACCAGGTCTACACTGAGACTGGTTCAGATAGAGGATTAGGACTAAACTGAGACTGGTTCAGATAGAGGATCAGGACTAAACTGAGACTGGTTCACAACCTTACCTTTTGTGGCTCCAGAGGCAGCTGCACAAAGTCTGATGAATGTCCTCGAGTGATGTCACTTGAGTCAGAGTCGGTCGGGTCTCAAGAAGTTTGAAAATGAGAAAATAATCCGTCGGTGTGGAGTTAAAAAGAAGTGATAATCTCTGCTTGTGACGAGGGGCTCGAGACTACACTATCCACTACTATCAAAACATGTACAAGCATTTGGTGGTTGAGTTGCATTGTGGGTAATGTAGGCCCCAAATTTGGGATAGAACGAAAAAGGACGATATCTCTGATAATCCTTTGCTTCTCTGTTTGTCTCCCGCCTGCAGCCCATTCGATGGACGGAGACTCGGTCACCTCACTTCCTCACCAGCAGGAGGAGGTCACGGAGAAAGCTGCTCCGCTCTTCTGGGACATTGCGTGGAATGTCTGAAGCCAACCTGCCTTTTAGAAAATAATAATAATAATAATAATAATATTTCTCCTTGTCTTTGCCCACTGTTCATGTGTTCAAAGACTTCCCATCTGTAGAAATCTAGTCTTTAATATTTATGTCACTTCAAAGCCACAGTTGTTACAGTTGTGGAATATCTGGAAAACTCTCTGTCATCAAAGTTTTTATTTTTTTATTTTTTGCTTTGTGAAGAGATCAGAGAGGATCCTCCAAAGTGTTCAAAACACTCAACAGACTCCGCTTTGATTCCACATCCATCTTTCTTACCTCCTCTCTCATCTTTTGACTTTCACTCAGAAGGACTCTAATACTTTCACAGATTCTCTATCTCATGTACTACTGTCAGGATATAGTGACAGTTTGAGCAAATATGACAAAAATTTTATTGCACACTTTTGACATAAAGGTCTAGCATCCTATTTCCACCTGGTAATAACATGAGATCTGTTTCTGGGTACGTTATCTGGTTTATGACTTCTGATCACCTGCCTTTGGTTTTATACCCGTATCTGAATTTTGTCCTCATTTAAATGCAATTCATAGCAAGACACTACGAGCAAAACATTGTTCTTCAAAATTTGTGATTTTGGTCTATTTTGCTTCCATAAAATGTTTTCTTTCAGACTAGTGGAACATAAACATCCAAAATACACATTCAGGTGTTTATTTTACTACTTTGTCTGTTTACGTCTGTAGATTTCTCCTGAATTCACTCAAAGTTACCATTTCATAACGCCTCATTTGCATATTTGAACACACAACTTCAGAGAACTTCAGAAAAATAGTCTTAATGTCAGCCAGGCAGGTTTCATGGTGATATTAGTTATTTATTTTACCTTATTCACCTGTAGTGTCAGATTCAATCTTGAATTAACATACTTTTCCTCATTTGCATAATAAACTCACACACAGATCATATTTCAACACCAGGTGGAAGTGGAGATGAACAGCTGGAGGTGGAGGTGTGTCGAGCTCACACACTTAATTAGTCACCTGAGGAGGAGATCGCACCTGAAGTCAATCATTAGACTCAACCTAGACCGTCTCAGTGACCGTGAGTGAACTCTTCTCTCTTGGTGTTTCATGTCGACTAAAAGGTCATTTAATGCATCTTTGCATCTTTAAAGTGCAGCTTTAATGTGAGCAGATAAATGAATGAATATGTGCTGAAAATGCAGCTATTGTTCTTGGAGAGAATATATAAGTAGACAATATCCTAATTAGAGAGTTACATTTTAAATGTAGATCTTCTGGGATAAATGAGGATGTTTTTTGTTATTTCTATGATGCAACAATAGCTCATCTACTGTTTCTAGTTTGAAGTACTGTAATAGACACTGTGGCAATAATGAAGTTGATGTGAACTATTGATCTAATGAACGCATACTAAATGTACAAGTAGAGGTTATACAAATAGATCCAAATAAAAAATGTACTTTTTATTAAAGTAGAATTTTTACTGTTGTTACGTGTCTGTTGATTTAACTACAATTAACACATTCAAAATGTTTGTATGAATCTATTTGTAATATTTATCATGACCACACAATGTCTGATCAGATTAACTGTACTTGACTTTGCAATGTTATCACTTTATGGCAGGTTTAGGCAGTTTGAATTGATCATCGACTTTTTAAGCTCAAAATTGAGTTCTTGTTCTAACTTAAAACCTTCAAATTGAAAAGCTGCAGCCTCCACAGGAGTTTAATATTATCATTTGTTTTTTTAATCAGTTTCTAATTGAATTGTGGTTCAAAATCTTTGCGTAATAATTGAGAAGTGAAGTAAGTCCATATCCAGCCTGGTCTCATGAAATAGTGTCATTTATCTGCATTTAGTCTGTACTGACTGCAATTTAAACCCATCCGTGTGAACACAACGAGCGACGCTCAACGAATGAGGAAGAGCAGCTGACGAAACATAAAAAGCCAGAAAGCCAATTTCAAACGGGTCAAACAAACACTTTCAGCCAGGAGACCGGTGTTCAAGTCCCATGAAAAAGTGTTGAGACTTTTGTAATGTTGTTTATGCATGTTTTACATGCTTAATTTAAGTAGTTTATGTACATATTTTATGTAGTTTACGTACTTATTTTACGTACTTATTTTACGTAGTTTATGTAGCTACTTATTTTTGGTATTTTACGTACTTGTTTAGGTAATTGAAGTACTTATTTTTCATACTTATTTTAAGTAGTTGACGTACTTATTTTAGGTCATTTACATACCTATTTTACATTTTTTACGTAGAGGTTTTGAAGCCTCGAGTTCGACAATTTTGGCGTCGCCATCTTGGATTACGGCCACCAATAAACGGAAGTGACCATATCTGGACTGAGGAGTGATGTAGAGACACCGTATATGTCTCTGATAGACCTGTCAATCACCGTGTAGCCCCGCCCTAAAGCAT